AACACTTTTGAGCAATTTTTCTTAAATAATAATTCATTTTCTTACCTCTGTATCTCGGAGTAGCGCGTATTTTCTGTAGAACATTCTAAGACTTTTTTCATTGGTTCGCAAGAGCTTGATATAACTTGGAAGTGAACTTTCCATAAACGTCAGGTACAGCCAAATATGACCTAAATATAAATGCATAACATTTGAGACTAATGGTGATGCGTTATAAAGCGCTAATATGTTGAGGTACAGTAAAAAACAACTGCCTTCATATGATGAGATCCAAAAGCTTCTACAAATTAGAGAAGACATATTCTTTCCATTCAAACACTCTAAGAAGCAAACAGAAGGAGAAATATTTGATTTAACTTGGTAATACACTTTTCCAGTTAATTAACTGATAGCCTTCCAGTACTAATATTGTATAAACATAAATAACGACCAAATACAACAACTAGAGATAACGTTAATTCAACTGAGGTTGCATTTGAAGAATGGTTTTCGTATTTTTCGGTTGAATCTTGAAAATATTGACAATAATTGAATAAACAATGATTGATTAATAATTGAAGACGAGGAGAAGAAGCTGCACATCGCACTCAGGAAAACTCGTAGAATATTCAAGCTTTTCAGACAGACACCCCGCTATTGCCATACGAGGGCAAATCCTGCTACTATGGGCCAAAAGCATTTTGCAGTTCCCTTTTATCTTAAAATTTCATTAATTCGACGCCGTTTCGCAAGAAATATCTCTGTTAATGCACGCAAATCTTCGACCTTATAAGAAAAACATAAGCCATGCTTTTTTATTTTCTAGAGAATTCACATCTTTTACTTGCAATGTACAGCGAACAAAGATCTGATGAAAGATGCAAAATTTGAATAATAGAGCTAGACTCTCTATGCCTTCATTCTGCTTTCCGTTTTTTAGAAATAAAGGAAGCATAGCTGAGTTGATGCACGATTTCTTGAGCAGTTTCGTGCAGTGAGCTACTACAACTGGGAAACACAAGAGCTTTTCACGCATGTGAAGAAAACACTTTTCTGGAAGAACAAAGCTTTTAGGATGTTCATCGCAAGGTATGAATCTGGATATTCTTCTTTCTTTGAAATTTTGAAAATTCCTGCTGTGAAGAATGGCAACGATCGAAAGAAACTGTTTTCCATGTTTGAGTTTTGGATCATAATTGTGTTGCTCAGCTAGAACTTTGCCTTCTAGCAGCGTTTTTATCAGTTAAAATTTTCTTATTTCATTTTAAAATAAAAACCAACTTGCTTTACACAAACCATCAATTTCCTGTACAAATAGAAGCAGAGCTGGCATAGCACACCAATTTTCAAGGGCAATAGAACCTTCGGCTTTCTCTTTATCAACTGAATTATATTTTATGTAAGAATTTAACATGTGTGTAACAACATACTTTCCAAGATCAATTACGATTTATCACACTATTGGATAAAAAGTTGTCTCTTTTGAAACACATTTTGGCAATTAGGTGCAGTGCAGTGGCGTAGCTAGCGGTCATGCTTGTCATGCCGGGCATGACCATCTATTTCCAGAGATAACATTTTTCAAAAAATTATATTTTCGTAAGAATAAAGTCCTATTCTCATGATGAAATAGCTCAGGCCATTCGCCTTTGAAACCCTATGGTTCCACGCAAGAATATGGAGCCCTCCGAAGGCGCTCTTCTATTGTCGGGCATGACTAAAACAGAGGGTTTCCAATTTAGTCATGCCCATAACTATGAGCAGGACCAAACCCTGTGTTTTAATGTTGTTTAGACTTGTTTTAAACAGAGTTAATCCACTAGTTAAAATGCCACACGTGACCTGGTGACCAATTGTTCTTGGACAATAGTTTTTCCCATCCGGGTACTTTCCCCTCGTGGTTGTGGTTAACACCCTTTATTAGTGTACCTCCATTCGGCATGCTTTAAGGGACTGATATGCACGCATCTCAGGCTTTTCACACAATATCGTTCGACTTCGCTGTATTTTTCCTGAATTTTCGAAGTGCTTCAAGTGTTCGTCTTTGTCTCTACGGAAACCAACTGTCAATCGATGTCTTACCAGTTGCAAAGATCATGGTTACAAGCGGTTTGTGAGTAATATTTTGGTGTCACGGTCCAAGCGAATCCCGACGCAATCCTACTTCTTATGGACAATTTGCAGCTTGGTGAGATTGTTCCTTTTCCTTGTTTCTTTTTAACTCGACTTATTGGTTTGTTTTGTTGCCCATTGTGCGGTGTTTTTGTTATCTGGTTATATCTAATCGTATCGTTATTTAATCATGGATCATCAGTACGCCATGGACGTAACTGGGCCTACGGGCCTAGTCTCGGAGGTCACAATCAAACAATCGGGATCTGAAGGGACTGCCAGTGATTTTGTTAGTCGTGTTGAAGTTAACGAACGTTTTTCGGCGTTGGAATCTTCGATCCAACATCTGATCGGACTTGTTTCTGGTGCGGATCACGAAAAAACTGACACTGTTTCAGCGAGTGGAATTTCGTCTCCACCTCCGCTTTCAGCAGGTTTGGCCACGTTACCAAAGACCAATACGGCGATGTCAGGTACTCACATTAATCTTTCATCCAGCCAAAAGTACCAAGGTCATCCGGCCACTGCCCCTAGTTTTATTAAGCTGGCAGATAGGTCCATTTCTGCCTCCTTACCGTATCAAGGGGGGTCTGCTACTGTTCCACCTATTTCGGGTAGGGTGTCTGGCCCCTCTCATGCGGGATTGACTCAAGAGTCCTTTATTAACGAGAACCCCTCTGCCCAGGCAATTTCGGTGTCATCAGCTTTGGCACCAGTACCAGGGTACCTTGTGGACAGGATAAAGCAGGGTCAATATGTGGACCTTACCCTCCTCCGCCCCTGCAATCTAAAAAGACTTCCTGTTGCGGAACCACCCCAGAGTTTTTTCAGTAGGGGCCTAAAAGACTTGTTGCCAATCAGAACTTTTCAGGACTGGTCGGAGGCATGGGCAGTGTTTGGGGGTGTTTATTCCAAGTTCTTGCCAGACAGAGCAGCTGACATGTTTAGCTATTTTCTGCTTATTTCTTCAGCTCACAGGGATGTGCCAGGGATTGGCTGGCTCGAATACGATGTGGCGTTTCGAAAGCATGTTGCTGAAAAAATTTCTATTCCCTGGGGGGAAGTTATGCCAACCTTGTGGATGACAACTGTGGTGGCTGGGGGTTCTCAGTTTTCATCCCATTTGCTCAAACCCAAGCCTCTGAATATATGCTATCGATGGAATTCCTCCCATTGCCCTGTTCGGGATTGCAAATTCGCCCACATCTGTCTGGCCTGCCGGGGTCCCCATCCCAAAACAAGGTGTGACAAGGATTTTGCTCCAGCTACACAAAGTGTCAATCCTTCTGCCAGTAGAGACTCCCCACCTTCCAAAAAACCAAGGAAGTGACTACCTGAAGTCTCGTTACAAAAACCATTATCCGATTATTTACCAGAACCTTTGCTTGTAACACCACTTAATTTTTCGGCTTGGCAGTTTTATTTACAAGGTATTGTACATGAGGATGCAGACTGGGTAGCTGAGGGAATTAAATATGGTTTTTACCTTGGCATTGCCCAAGGTCAAACTCGTTCGGCACAGCGTAATTGTAGGTCAGCGTATCTTCAATCATCAATCATTGACAGTTATCTTAAAGAAGAATTAGACGCTGGGACTATGGCCGGGCCTTTTACAGTTCCACCATTTGGAGACACTCATATAAATCGTTTTGGGGTGATTCCAAAATCCACTCCTGGTAAATTTCGTTTAATAACTGATTTGTCTTTCCCTCAGGGTGCTAGTGTAAATGATTTAGTACCTGATTCGGAGGCGGAAGTTTCGTATGCTGGTATTCCAGAAGCTATTTTTATGATCATGAAATTAGGGCGTGGTTGTCAATTAGCAAAATTCGACATTAGCCGAGCCTACAGACTTTTACCGGTCCACCCTTCTACTCGACCTTATTTTGGCATGTTTTGGAAGGGCCATTATTATATCGATTTAGCGGTCCCATTTGGATTACGTTCGGCCCCTAGGGTGTTCACCCGTTTTGCTGATGTACTTCAAGTAATTTTAACAATAAGGGGTGATGTAGCGAACATACAACATTATTTGGATGATTTTTTGCTAGCAGGGCCCCCGGGTTCGCAGCAATGTCGCAAGGATTTGAATGAGTGCCGCACAATCTGTAAAGAATTGGGTGTCCCTCTAGCTGAAGACAAAACAGAGGGCCCAGCCTCGTCTATATCTTACCTAGGTTTTACTCTGGACACAGAGGCCCAAGAGCTCCGCCTACCACCTAAAAAATTAGAAAAAATTAGGTCCCAGCTAAATGAATGGTTATCTAGAAAGAGCTGTTCCAAGCGAGAGCTTCTATCTTTAATTGGAACATTGCAGCATTGTTGCCAGGCAATTGTCCTCGGTAGGCCGTTCTTACGTAGGCTGATCGACCGCGCTAGTTCGGTTACAGAGCTTTATTTTCGTGTTGCCTTCACCAGCTGGGAAAGGGAGGATATTTCCTGGTGGATTAGACTATTTCGCGATTGGAATGGACGGAGCTTATTCCTCTTCCCCAAGTGGGAGCTTGCCCCTAATGTGGCTATTGCCTCTGATGCCTCAGGCTCTTTAGGCTGCGCAGCTATAAATGGCAAAGAATGGTTTGTTCGAATTTGGCCCAAGGGGGTGGAGAACTTGAATATTGCGATCAAAGAATTGGTTCCAATTGTCCTATCAGCGCATATTTGGGGTGACACATGGTCTCGCAAACGGATTGTTTTCAAATGCGACAATCTGGCAGTTGTTAGTCTACTCCAACGGGGTAGTTGCAAGGATCGTCACTTGGCCTTTTTACTTAGAGAGCTGTCCATGATTGCTATTTTGGGAGATTTCACCTTTACTGCAGTCCACATCCCAGGGGTGGTTAACAAACATGCTGACGCACTTTCTCGTTTTAAATTTCAGGAATTTGCCACTGCTGTCCCCGATGCGGCTTCCACTTCTTTACCAATTCCGGACAATCTGATCCATCAGCTCCTCTTCCCCCCCTGGACGAAAAGTGGCAGGGTCTTCTAAACAATTCATTAGCCGTTAATACAAAGAGAACATATACGTCGGCACAAAATTTATTTCTTCGGTTTTGTTCAAAATATAACCTAGTTCATGACAATGGGTCCCCTTGTCCTGCTTCTGAACTCACTATTTTACGATTTCTTGGGGAGGTAAGCAGCTCAAGACAAGCTTCAACGTTGAAGGTTTATTTGTCAGCAGTGCGTTCCTTGCATATTTGTATGGGTTTCACCGATCCTTTATTGAACTCCCAACGTATTCCTATGGTGTTGAAAGGTGTTAAACGGCTTCGCAGAGGCATTAGTACTCCAGGGAAACTTCCAATTACGGCACTGGTACTGTACTCAATTAAGTTGCAGCTGGATCTGTCCCGGTCAGATGATGTTATGATTTGGGCAGCCTGCTGCATAGCCTTTTTTGGCTTTCTTCGTGCCTCTGAGTTTACAGTACCAACATCAGGTTTGGATTCTAACATGCATTTATCACTTGACAATGTGACCATAGACTCGTTTCCGGTACCCGCTACGGTCTTCTTATGGTTGTCACATTCAAAAACGGACCAATTTGGGAAAGGGTGCTCAATCGTATTTTCCCGTTCGGATGGACATTTGTGTCCAGTGACTGCTCTGATGAGTTATTTACATCTGCGGGGCTCATCGTCTGGCCCCCTTTTTCAATTTGGAGATGGCACCCCTTTAACTCGTAGCAGACTAAACGCTCGTTTACAAGATATTCTTAAAGCTGCAGGCTGGCAAGGCAGATATACCTTGCATAGCTTTCGTGTGGGGGCAGCCACAACGGCTGCCTCTTTAGGTTTTCCAGAGTACTTAATTAAAGCTTTGGGTAGATGGTCTAGCGACGCATATAAAGTTTATATTAAACTCCCGGTACAGCGCCTAAGTTTAGCCTGCAAATCTTTGGCTACAGCTTCCCCATTATAGGTTTATAATCTGTGGCAGTTCTTTTACTAAAACAAAAACAACAAAAAAGAAAAATCATATTGTTAGCGTTATCTTCTAGCGGGTAATCTTTGGCTACAGCTTCTACATTATTTTATCATAACATGTACAGTTCTTTATTTACAAATGCCAATTTCAGCTTTATTATCAGTTTTTTGTTACATTTGTTACATATATTTTTTTCTTTGGGCAGCAGGTCTCATATGATGTAGGCGATTCCTTTGGTGCTTGCCCATTCCCACCCCGCCCCTAGGCTAGATCTTCACTGACATTAGGTATTATTGCATATATTTCTGGATAAGATCAGCTTACAGTTTTAATAGTCTTTCTGAATCGAAGTTTGGCTCTTGTTGTAACCTCACACGTTCGTTTTCTGTCCCCATAGATTCAGATTTTAGGCCGTTCTTATTGTTGATAAGGTTTTTGTTTTTTCACAATGTTTCTATATATCAGGTTTTCATATATCATATTATTGTTGCGATAATCAGATAGTTTAATATATCCTGTTGTGTTGAGACCTTTTTGACCATGGTCTGTTTTTTGTTGAAGTTTTGAATTGCATATTTGCATACCCTGTGTTATTATTTTCTTGTCCATCCTAAGTGTTGCATTCTGCAAAAAAAAAAAAAAAAAAAAAAAAAAGGAAACTGTGAAAAGGGCAGACTTGTCTCATTTTCACCAGGATTTCCCGTAGGGTGACTATTTATATTTGCAACAATACTGATGTATTATTGAATTGAACCCCCTTCCCTCTTTGTACCAGGTTAGTCCTGGTTGTTTATTAGGGTGGAGTTATATTCGCCGGGTAATTGGCATTTTTTTTTTCTTTATCACGACTCCACTTAGGCCTGGGTATTCTTGGCTTTTGGTAGCGTGATTGTTTTTTGCCTCAAAATTGGCTTGTTATTGTTCATATTCGCCTGAAATTTGGCATGTTTATTTATCACGAACCCACTTGGGCCAGGTTATTCCTGGCTTTTCGTGGTGTGAGTGATGGTTATTCGCCACAAGGTTGGCTTGTTATTTGCTCATGTTCCCGCTTGATCCAGGGTGGTCCTGGCTCTCAACGGGGTGAGTGTTTATTTGCCTGAAATTTGGCACATTTATTTATCACAAACCTACTTGGGCCAGGTTATTCCTGGCTGTTCGTGGTGTGAGTGATGGTTATTCGCCACAAGGTTGGCTTGTTATTTGCTCATGTTCCCGCTTGATCCAGGGTGGTCCTGGCTCTCAACGGGGTGAGTGTTTATTTGCCTGAAATTTGGCACATTTATTTATCACAAACCTACTTGGGCCAGGTTATTCCTGGCTGTTCGTGGTGTGAGTGATGGTTATTCGCCACAAGGTTGGCTTGTTATTTGCTCATGTTCCCGCTTGATCCAGGGTGGTCCTGGCTCTCAACGGGGTGAGTGTTTATTTGCCTGAAATTTGGCACATTTATTTATCACAAACCTACTTGGGCCAGGTTATTCCTGGCTGTTCGTGGTGTGAGTGATGGTTATTCGCCACAAGGTTGGCTTGTTATTTGCTCATGTTCCCGCTTGATCCAGGGTGGTCCTGGCTCTCAACGGGGTGAGTGTTTATTTGCCTGAAATTTGGCATGATTGTGTATCACGAACCTGCTGGAATCAGTTTATCGCTGGTTTCACAGGAAGAGTGCTTTTCTGCTCTCACTATCCTTTACCCGCTTACCTTTTTCCGCCATGAGTCTGCCATACCCCCCTCTCCATATTTCCACTAGGTAAACAGCTCCAGTTTGGGTTTTAAGACTTGGCTTCCTCCTCCTTCCCCCCCCCCCCCCCC